GGCCCTCTGGCATCCCAAGCCAGTTCTTAACCATCGCGCCACTCGGCCAGCCCCAGATGTTTTTCTTTGGTCCATTTTCATCAGGTGTAGCATCAACCTCTCATTTAGAAAGTAACCTTTCTCTTCTTGGGATGGCAGTGGCTCTTCGTAGTCATTATAAATTTATATTACCTTTCGCCAGACTTCACTAAGCTCAGCATTCTTCTTTGGTCTTGGTTTGCAGGGAGCGGCACTGAAATACTTGCCAACGATCATCAACGATGTGAAACTGGTGTTTGACCCCAAAGAGCTCAGGTAAGGAAGCACCTAGGGCCTGAAGGCTTTCCACCTCCCGCCTTGGCCTCATTTTCAGTGCATTTAGTTTATGGGATTCTCGGGGTTCTGTCTCATGTCACCAGAGGTGAGGGCCCTGGGCCAGGGCCCTGGCTCGCTGTAGAACACATGCTAGGGGTGGTATTTGGGACACTTGGCCTATTATGACTTTATATACAGCAGCAGCGTCAGTAGCCCCGTGGAACTGGGTAGAAAATGCTGAATCTCGGGTTCCTGCCCAGATTGTCTGAACCCCCTGACACCCTGACGCTTCCAGGGAATGTTACTTTTCAGGGAGCTCAGGTCTGGAGAAACAGACGACATGGGGAAGCTGTGTCATGTGTGTCGCGCCACGTACTCGGCCTGTCCTCACTGTGCAGAGGTACCAGCCCCCTGCCCACTGGAGGGATGGCGCCATGTTCGCAATGTGCCATGTGCTTAGAGATGCAAAGAAGACCCCTTCCCCGGGCCAACCCGTCTGCTCTGGCCCCTTGGCCCTTTGTGCATGTGTGTGTCCCTCTTGGACACCTCATTTACTGATTAAAAAAAACCAAAGATATAAAAAATTAAGTATGTATGTTTTCCCCGTTTAGAAAATGGATTCATGTTTTGAGGAAACGGAAGAGGATTTTAACTCAAATTTAATTTCATTGGGTCCTGCTAGTTATGTTATGTGCCCACACACATATACACGCACACCCCTGAAAAGATTCAACATCATATTCATTATTTTACGATCAGCTTCCACACTTAAGATGTTCTGTTTTCACACACCCTGAATAGTCTCGTCCATCAGAGTTTTTAGTAACTTCCATGGTGTTCCGTCCTATGCTGGCCTATCATTATTTAAGAAACGACAATAGATACTGGCTTCAGTTATGTGATTCCTCCACACAAAACAGGCTCCACACAAAGCACTTCCCATGTACTATCCAGTTAATCTTTACAGCGGTGCTATGACCTAGGTTCTATCACCAGCCCACTTTTTGCTGAGTAAATTGTCAATAATGACTTAGTTGGTGAGTGGCAGGCATCAGTGCCAACCCAGCTCTTTTGATGACAAAGAACAGACCACTGTGCTGTGCGATGGGTGCCAGATTGTGTCCTCTTTTCATTATTATACAATATCCCAGGATAAAATTGTTTTATAACGTAATTGTAGTATCTGCCCTTATTTATATCATTACTATTGTATAAGCAGAGAAGTGGAATTACTAGGTCTTGCACTTTCTTAAAAGGCTTTTAATAGCTAGCATCCTGTTGCCCTCCTGAAGGTCAAACCAGCCTTCTACCGGTGTTTCATGGTGCCTGTCTGCCCAAACTCTGCCAACACCTGGAATTACTGTTTTATAGAGCCTTGCCAGTAGGATTGGTGCAAAAGGTTCTCACCAATTTAAATTGTCTTTCTTTAGTTACTAACAAGAACCCTTTGTCTAATATTCCTTCATAGTATCATCGGCCATTTGGAAAAGTAAATTTTTAGAAATATCTCCCATGAGATACAATTTATGTACTATGAAGTTCACCAGTTTTAGAGTGTTCAGCTAAATAGTCTTCAGTATTTTTATGGAGTCGTGCGACCATCAGCATAATCCAATTTTAGCTTCCTCACCCCAGGAAGATCCCTCGTGACCGATACCACTCATCTCTTCTCAGCCCAGCGCTCGGCAGCCACTAGTCTACTTCCTGTCCCTACAGATGTGCCTGTTCTTGGCATTTCATATAAATAGAATCATACAATCCGTGGCCTTTTGTGACTGCCTCCTTTCACTTACTGTGATGTTTTCAAGGTGTATCTGTGGAGTAGCATGTGTCAGAATTTTCTTCCTTTCTGGACACGCTGCATTTGTTTATCTATCCATCCGCAGATGGACATCTGGGCTGTTTCCACTCCTTGAGCATTCTGAATCACGTTGCCACGGATCATGCACAAGGTTCTGTGTGGATTCGTATTTCACTTCTCTTGGAGTGGAAATGCTGGGTCCTATGGTAACTATTTGGAACATTTGGAGGAAGTGCCAAACAGTTTTCCAAAGTGGCTACACCATCTGACATTCCCACCAGCATGGTATGACGGTTCCATTTTCTTCACAGCACAGCTAAAACTTGATGCCATCTATCTTTTAGTGATAGCCATTTTAGTGGGTGTGAAGTAAAAAAATAACATTTTACACTATCATGTTTTGGATGAGATCTGGGCCTGTGGTTATTATCCAGCATTCTGGTGGCATTTCATGACCATTTCAGGGCCCCACGTCTCCGTACTGTCTTGTAACATTTTGGACCATTTTGCAGTGTATCTGTAAACGCTTTCCATTGTGTTTCTCCTCATAGCAAAATGTTTACCGATTTCATCCTGAATGTCCCCATGGGTTTGCTGACCATTCAGAAGCTGTATTGTTTGATCGAAATCGTTCACAGTGACCTCTTCACACAGCACGGTGAGTGGAATCCCCGGAATCATTAAATTGTCACATTACTTATTGTCTGTAGACTTTAACCCCTTCTGAATTCCCTCCTCCTCACTGAAAGAAGTGGAGGTTGCCACCAATTAAAACAGCTCTATTACAAGACAGGAAGATTTAGCCCTTACAAGAGAACGGTAATGGACATATAGCATAGGTAGTAGATCATTGACAAGTGAAGGCAGAAGCTGCTAGCTCGTGATGTAGGTGTGCACCAGAGCCCTAGGGTAATCAGCATATATTGTCGCCTTTACAATATGTGAGTCTTTATCCTGGGGACGCCATCAGTTGCTTCTGTTGAGATGATTGCAAAGAAAAATTTCAAGTTTTCTTAAATTTAGATATAATGGTTCTGTCTCGTCCTAACTTTGCATTCTTTGACAGGGTTTCTTCAAACCCGGCTCAGAAGAATCAGAATTTTAATGATTTCTCAACTCATTTGTCCTGAAAAATACCTTCTATTTCCCTACATTATCTCCCTACCCTTTTTATTAATCATTTTCTTTCTTTTTGGGCAGAACTGAATTAATATTTTACACTTGTCAAGCGGTTTTATTGAAAGCTTAAAACCTTTGCATAATTCCATAACCTTCCTCATTTATTGGAGGCAAATATGAAACTTCTGAGTGACATGCTGACTGAGAAGCATAGATTTATTCTAATCCATTTGTGTCCAGACGTTTGGCTGTTCCATTCATTTTCTTTCAGCCTCACGCACAGCATTGTTTCAGGGCTGGAGCAGTCCAGGTCTGGATGTCCTCTTGAGATACTGGCTACACTGAGAATTCAGTGTGTGTCTGGCTTAGTCCTTTGTGCCTTCTGGGCTACTGCACCCTATGTTTACCTGCTCGTTTTCATCTCATTTCTTTACTTAACTTTATAAAATACATTGGAGTCTACACTTATAGCTAAGGCTCATATTAAGAGAATATGTTAAGACGTCATCTGGGTGTTCTGGAGAAAAAAACCATCAAACCAAGAAGTGGGGAGCTTTCTGCAGCCCCTGCATGCGGACCTCTCTGGTTCAGAAGTTAATTTCTCACTTTCCTAAAAGAAAGTCAACACCATTGTCATTGTTTGGAGTGCAAAGCACATGACTCTTCTTTGAGCCATTAATCCTGACTGTCCGTGTTTCAGGCTGTCATGGAGGGCTGGATCTTGAATTGCTCATTCTCTAGGTATCTACTAAAGCTTGGGGGACACTGTGTGGCTCAAGGAAGACATGATGATGGAGGTGACGGGTGGGGACTGCTTCATTGTTTCCTTACATATGGACTAAACTTTATACCAGAGCAAGTAAAATCCCCTGAAAGTTTTATATCTGGGCCTTACTAGGTATGTTACTGGTGTCCCTTCTTCCAACCATGCAACCCCAACACACACACACCACCACAGCCATCACCATCAGTACTACCACCACCACTACCACCACCACCACCACCACCACCACCACCACCACCACCACTATCACCATCACCACCATCACCATCAGTACCACCAGTGCCTTCGATAAATAACAGTTGTCAATGATTGATTGTACTTAACTCTTACTGAGAGTTGATACAAGAAGGACCTTCTTAAGGACATATTTATATATACTTCAAAATGTCTATTGCAAAACTTTGTTCTGCATATCACTTAGCTTTCTTTGAATAAGAGCCTAAGACATAAAGGGTTCAATTAAAAGTATTTAAAATATTTTTTATCAGTTTCAGGTGTACAAAACAATGTAATAGTTAGACATTTACACCCCTCACAAAGTGATAGCCCTTCTCCCCCAATCTACTACCCCCTGACATTGTACATAGCTGTTACAATTCCATTGACTCTATTCCCTATGCTGTACCCCACATCCCGTGACTGTATATATATATAATTATAATTATAATTATATATATATATATATATATATATATATATAATTATAGTGGACATAATATTATTCGGCTTCAGCTTCAGGTGTACAGTGCAGAGGTCAGGCATCTACACCGTCCATGAAGTGGTCTCCCTAATAAGACAAGTGCCCATCTGATGCCCTACTAAATCTTTACAACATTATTGATTATATTCCCCGAACTCTTTCATATCCCTGTGGCAATATTGTAGTTCCCAATTTATGCTGTCTAATCCCTTCCCCTTCTCCCTCATCCCCACTCCCTCCCAACTAGCAGCCATCAGTTGTTCCTCTATGTCTCTGAGTCTATTTATATGTAGCTTGCTCATTTATTCAGTTCTTTAGATTCCATGTATTAGTGAGATCATATGATAGTTGTCTTTCTCTGACTGACTTATTTCACTTAGCATAATGTTCCCTAGGTCCATCCATATCGTTCGTTGCAAATGATGAGATTTCATTCATCTTTGTGGCTGAGTAATACTCCATTGTGTAAATGTACCACAGCTTCTTTATCCAGTCGTCTTCCGATGGGCATTTCAGTTGTTTCCAAGACTTGGCTATTATAAATAGAACTGCAGTGAACATAGGGGTGCATCTATTTATTCGAATTAGCGTCTTGGGTTTCTCTGGATAGATACCTAAGAGCGGAATTTCTGGGTCATATGGTAGTTCCATTTCCAGTTTTTTGAGATACCTCCATACTGATTTCCATAATGGCTGCACCAATCTGCCATCCCACCAACAGTGCACCAGGTTCCCTTTTCTCCGCAACCTCGCCAGCACTTGTTGTTTGTTGATTTATTGATGATAGCCATTCTGACCGGGGTGAAGTGGTATCTCATTGTGGTTTTTATTTGCATTTCCCTGATGATTAGTGAGGTTGAGCATTTTTTCATATGTCTATTGGCCAAAAAAATTAAAATAAAATACAATACAATAGAAGTTCTTTTAAGAATGTATTTCAAGGAAATGTTTTCTTCCACTGAAACTCACTCTAAACTTGAGGGAAGCTTGCTGTTTGTTTTTGGTAGTTGCGTCAGCCTAGCTGCTCGGGGTGGTGCTTTCCTCCCTCTTTCTGGTGCCCCGTTTTTGTTTACATTCTTGTCCTGTAAGTCTTTGGTCATAGATTGCCTCAGGTCCTGTTTTGCAAGTATGTAGCATGCAAATTAACATTTATAGCTTTAAGCATTTATAGCTTTTTATTAAACAGTAGCTTTGCTTAATAAGGAGTTACCAGGATATATCATATTTTGGAATAAGTTGTATCTTTCTAAGTACAAAGTTGGTACTGAGTCTTAATAGCAAGTTGTACCCAACATAGTAAATGCGATTGTATGAGACGTATGAATCCCGAATGATCACGGGCTAACTGAGCCAAAATTGGCCTGAAGCTTCATGTCGTACAAGCCGCTCCAGAATTACCCAATCAGTTGCAGTTGCCTGAGCCATAACTGAGAGCTCAGGGTGCTTTCAGATGCTCACTGGCTGCCGGGAAGCCTTTCAGAATGCATTGTCCAATGGGAACGTGGCCCCACATTGAGGCTTGGAGTTTTAAGCATCTTTATGGGTAAGGATAGAGGCAGCCCTGATTTTTCTTATCTGCAAGCTTCCTGCCTCTTTAAAGCAGCTAACAGCCACCTTACCTCCTTGTCAGGAAAGACTTATCAGGGGAAATCTTCTGCTTGGTCTGTTCTTACAAAGATGTCGTTACTTTTAGAAAATGCTCTTTGCCACATTCAGTATAAATATTTAAAGCCAGACCATTTTCTGATGAAATATGATGGCTGTGATTTTTTTTTTTGCTTTGTTCCATTTCTTGTTAATTTGTAAAAAATGTTGTTGTCTATGTCCTATTTCCTGGCCCCAATGGAACCAATCAAACTAACACCCCATGTGTCCACAATTTTACAGTTTGATAAAACTAGATTTATCTGCACAAGCTACCAAATGTGCTAGTCCTCAGCAAACGTCCTTTTGGATGTGATCAGAGGGCACCACATTGTGCTCCAGGGCAGGTCTTTGCTCGTCAGCATGAGTGTTGCCTCACAGAAGAGACCCCCTTTGCTTTGCTCTAGAACATTTCTTTCCATCTGCCTCGAATATCAAAGACATTGCATAGTTTCAGTCTCATTTCTGTGGAAATGCAAAGCTGAGCTCTGCAAGGAGGCTGGCAGCGAATTCTGAATCGGGAACTGCTTCTGTGCAGAATCGCCACTCCTTGCCAGGCCTGGGTCCTGGTATGCCAAGCCTTCCATGCACTGGCGGTCCCAACCTTCTTTCCCTTACTGCTCCTCTTCCGTCCCGCTAAAGGACACACAACCTCAGGTCGCATCCAGCTGAGACTGTGGGGTAACAACAGGAGAGGTACCTGTCGGCGAGTGGGGTTTTATTTGGCCCCAACCTGGGCGGCCACCATGGCCACGGTCATTGCCGCTGTCTGCTCACACGCGTACCAGTTGTGAATCGGGACCTTGCACCGCCTGCTGCCTCCACCCTGGTCTGCAGGAAACGGGAATTCTTCATCGCGTTCTCTCCTCCCGGACTGCTCCTTTCCTCTTGTGTCGCGAGGAGTCAGGCTCATCTGCAGAACCTGGGACCCAGGTTGCTGTTCTAGTCGTAAGGGTGGCTGTGGATTTGTTCGGCTTTTGTCCTGGGGAGACAGAGCTTATCATATAGAAATCACCCCCAAATGTAAGAAGGCTACTCCGCTGCTGAAGGGCAGACCTGCCACGTCACATGTCCCTCCCTGTGGAGTGCTGACAGGCCAGTGTCCATGGCCCTTGAGAATTCAGGCCACTTGCAGCTCACGGTTGTGTGTCAGCCACGTCAGCCTTTCCTCCAAGTACGTGCCCCTCTTTCTTTTCTTTGATTTTTATACAGTGAATGGCTTGCATCATTTCTCCTACAAATGCTTTTCCTTCCTCTTTAATAAAGCACCGTTTATTCCTGAGGCCCTTTCAGCGGTGAGGGCAGCCAGTACATCAGAGGGCTGAGGGTGGCGTGGGCCTTCCGATCAGACGGCGTGGGCTCAGAGCCTGCTCTGCTGCCTGCTCACGCAGTAAGCTCGCATAAGCCTCCT